CAGCAACAGTTGTTCAGTGATTCTGTGAGGTTTTTGATCAGTAGAACAATCTGATGGAGCCTAAACACAGTAAATGTTGGATCTAAGTGTCTTTCAGGTGAATTCTACTTTTACAGGCTGAAATTCTCTGAACATGAAGTACAGCAACATTTCTGCATCACAACCTTAATGGAAAGAAAATGACAAGTTCCACTGATGAGCTTTTACAATGTTTGAAATTGTTTGTCTGGAAGTCAGTGGGCCAAATTTAAAAGAAATTAATAACTACGGTTTCTGGGGGACTTTTCTTCTTGGATGTGGACAATGACAAGAGCTAAATAGTGCTTGTTACCCAACGAGAAGAAGAACCAAATACAGCTGCTTTGATACAGTCCTTATTTAGTTAGAGAACTCGTGTAGTTTGAGTTTGCAATTCCATAGTGGATTAATGAAAAGCTGTGGTTCAGAAGCATCCACTGGATCCACCAGACAGAGCTGCTGCATCCTCACCGACAAATAATGCTCTACTTAGTCTCTTCAGTGTTAGTTTGATTTTGGGCTATAAAAGTACTTTAAAAATGTATTTAGTATCAAACTCTTTTGTTCTCCCATCATAGAAACAAAAAGCTCCCAGCTTTGTGTAATGAGATGAGGAATGAGTAATTATTCTAAAATCTAAAGGTTCTAGCAGTCTGGTTGCTGCAGAGAAGAGCGGTGGAATCTCATTCAGTCAATATGAGCTCTGCTTTTCCCTCCAGCTTCACATCATGCACAGCAGATCATGTGTTTTCTATTTCATTCCCATACATGTCAACCCCTTTGGATGTTTACCTGTATCGTGAACCTCAAAAATGTGTAATTAAAAAAAAAAAACATATGAACCATGTGCCTGGAGGACTGTCGGCCACAGAGATGACAGCCCCTGCAGTGAAAAGCAGGAGGAAATGACGATGGGAGAACTTAGTGCCAGAGTGGGTTGGAAGATGTTTTTTTTATGTCCTACAGGCTCTGACATGTTAAATTAGTTTGAAATAGAGTTTTTGAAAAAAATCCCTAATACTTGAAATAATCTGCGAGATTGCTATACATTCATACACCTGTAAAATGAGGGAAAATCTGTGTGAATTACGGACAATCCGTACAACTTGACATGTGTGCGTTCCATCCTGAGTAAGAGGAGAAGAGGGGCAGCAGCAAAGCTCTTTCCGTGTGTAGCCTCATAATGGTGCAGCTTTGGGAACCAGAGGCCCATCCAGGCCATGAAAGAGGTTCTGGTTAGTCCGTCGCAGCTGGTGTCTTCAGAGAGCTTCCTCTGTCGCAGAGACTCCCAGCCAGCATCAGTATTCCTCAGGAAGAGCTTCCTGTGTATCGGGGGTTGTCCTGCCACCTCTCTGCCACTGGCATTGTGGACGTGTCTTGTTCTCAGCATCACAGGGACCAAATACTGCACAGTGGCCTGATCTCAGCTGTTTGTTAGAGAGAAGACTTCAAAACTATAAATC